AAGAAGAAGGAGGCGGGGCTAGTGAGGGTGAAGTTGATCCCTACGACTATCCCGAAGAAGAAGAAGGAGGCGCCGAAGAAGAAGGAGGAGGAGCTGGCGGTGGTGAAGAAGAAGAAGGAGGTGGTGAAGGCGGAGGTTATGAAGAGGGAGGTGAAGGTGGAGAAGGAGGAGGTGAAGGAGAAGAAGGTGGTGAAGGAGGCGGTGGTGAGGCCGAGGCTAAGTAATCTCTAACCACGGACACGCCCCTTTCCCAGCTCCTCCCACCCACCCACCATCAAACCACCCTTCAAGAACAGACGTGAGCCTCATCTTTTTTCCCACACCTGTCACTTTCTCTTCTTCACCACCACCATGGCCGTCTGATATTATCTTCCTTTCACCACTCTACTTCTTTTTACTAATCTGTACACTATTTACACGATTAAACTTTTTTTTCTTTTTTTAAAAGCGCCAGCTTTTTCAGTTTTTAAGTCTTCAGATCTTCGAGACAAGTTCTGCAGTGGTGCACACGACGATCATTACCTAAAGTAGAAGTTCAAAGTTTAATCTACTTTTGTAATTATATTAGGCTCGCTCTTTGCAGGTACTCTTGAACGGCAAACAAAAGAGAACTACTTTTGCACTACTACTTTTCCTCCTCATCAGAGTTGCAGAAAAGGGGTGAAAGATTAAGAGACAGGGCTAGTAGGTGGAAAACAGATGCAAGATAAAGTCTTCAGATTGCTCACATCTTCTCGCTTTTCTCCGTCTTGCTGCCGCCATTGTTGTTCTTCACACTGCCGCCGCCCACCACCTCCACGCTGGAAGTCCTCCTCTTGCCGACGTCTCCAGAGGTGGACCGCTTCTTCTTCACCGGCGGCTGCTGCTGCTGCTTACCTCCCGCAGACAGTGACGCCTTCTCGGCCACAGTCGACGATCGACGACGAAAGACCTCGTTCGATTTGCCCGCACGAAGCTGCTGCTGCTGCTGGCTTTCCTTTTCCTTTTGCTGTTGTTGTTGTTGCTGCTGCTGCTGCTGCTGTTGCAACTGTCGAAGTTGGTACTCCTGGCGAAACTGCTGAAAGGCCGGCGACAGGCGGTAGTACCCGGTGCGCAGGACGTGTCCGTGAGAGGCGTTCCCATCCTGGACGACGGTCGCCCGCCCGGGAGGATTCGCCGGCACAAAGGAGCCGCTCGGCAGGGGCTCACCGGCGGCGATGCGGTGAAAGACGTTGCTGTAGCTGCTGCTGCTGCTGCTGCTGTTGTTGTCGATGTTATGAGCCGACTTTTTTCCACTTGAGTTTGTTGTTGATGACGGTGTTGGCTGAAGACTGACGGAAGAAGAAGGTGGTACGTTGTTGTTGTTGTTGCCGTTGTTTCCAGATGCGGTCAGCTCGGGCATCGCCGAGAAGGAGCGCTCCTCGTGGTCCTCCTTGGAGAAGGCGGTGCCGCCCATGCGGGAAGAAGCTGCGTAGGTTAGCTCTTGCTTGAAAGATGCTTTTAATCTGGCCAAGATGACACGCGGTGAGATAAAACGTTTCAAACAAAAAAAACATTTGGCAACTTGGAAACAAAGCGCAACCTGCAAAGCAGGCTGTCTTTTTTTCGAACTCTAAAAATGCCTCGAACTTCAGCAGCAGCAGCAGCAGCAAAGTTTTCCACTTTCCTTCACCCGAGGGCGCCACGCTCTAGTACAGTGGAAGAAGGGGCAGCTGAACAAAAATTCTACACGAGCCTTTCCTTCTGCGTGCTCGCCAAACAAACACACACACACACAAACACTCACTCACTTTCACTCGCCACCACTTTCCGTTGTTTCTTCCATTTTCCTTCCATTTGATCCCTTGTGATCCTAGGGACAGGTGGAGTTCTTTTCACCCTGTGCTTTTCAACCAGTGTCCTCGGAAACCACCAGAACTTCCACCAGGACTCGGTGTCTCACTGCCACCACTGAACAGCTGAATTGCTGAAGCACCCTGCTATCACATCACGCTGCCACTGTGAGATTCTGTGATTTGGACTTGCAAGGAGAAGAAGTTCTGCTCCTCTCTCTCTCTCTCTTTCTCTCTCTTTGAGCTCGTATAAGAGGTAATTTGTTTGTTGCTCACTTCATNTGTCCTCGGAAACCACCAGAACTTCCACCAGGACTCGGTGTCTCACTGCCACCACTGAACAGCTGAATTGCTGAAGCACCCTGCTATCACATCACGCTGCCACTGTGAGATTCTGTGATTTGGACTTGCAAGGAGAAGAAGTTCTGCTCCTCTCTCTCTCTCTCTTTCTCTCTCTTTGAGCTCGTATAAGAGGTAATTTGTTTGTTGCTCACTTCATTCATTTAGCTTTTTCTGGTGTTGTCACTAGGTGATTATCAGGTCTACTGGTATTACTACCTGTCAAGCCACTAAACTTACTACCAGTCACAGTGACATCGGTACAACCGATGATGAAATGCTTTGCATTGCACTCGTCGCGTTGTCCAAACGTTGCCACTGGTGCACGGCAGACTCGTCTGTTCTTTCGCTCTGACTGTCATTAATTTAAACTTTTNCTCGTCGCGTTGTCCAAACGTTGCCACTGGTGCACGGCAGACTCGTCTGTTCTTTCGCTCTGACTGTCATTAATTTAAACTTTTTCTCTCTTTCTCCCAATTTAGAAATTCACAACTGCAACAACAAGTACAGCCGCATCGGCTGCTGCCGCTGGTGCATTGCCTCATCACCGCCAAGGTGTACCCAATCCGTTGAATTTGTCACCAAGAAGTAAACAGACAAACAAACAAACAGGCAAACATGTCCAACTGTGATAGCGACGAGGAGGTGCTCTACGACTCTGAGGACGGGGACTTCGAAGACAACGACGACGTCGACGACGGAGTCCTCGGCTTGGGCGGCAGCAGCGGCAGCCAAGGGGGCCAAGCGGGCCCTGACGGCGACGAGTACCCCTATCAGGTGCTGAGCATCGACGAGGTCACCCGCCTAATGGTGGAGACCATCAAGGAGGTGAACCTGGTCGTCCAGGTATGTTCTATTTATTTAGCCTTGTGAGTGAAAGAAGTAAACAAACACTTTTTTATCTCGACCAGCTTCCGCAAACGACGACGCGCATTCTGCTGAACCACTTCAAGTGGGACAAGGAGAAGCTGTACGAGAAGTACTACGCCGAGGAGGACCCGGAGGCGCTCTTCGCCGCGGCACATGTGATCAACCCGAACTTGGCAGGGAACTTGAAGGGCAAGGGTGGAACGGCTCAGGGAACACAGGCGGCAGGGGAAGGGGCGAGTGGCACCATTAAAAAGCGACGCACCCGCAGTCAGCAGGGCGTCAAGATCGAGTGTGTCATCTGCTACCTCGACTACCCGGAACTGGTAAGTTTTAAGCCTGTTGTTTGTTTATCCAACTGACCACCACCACCCTTTCTTTGCAGGAAATGGTGGCCATCACCTGCGGCCACCAGTTCTGCAAGAGCTGCTGGGTGGCCTACCTCACCACGAAGATCATGGAGGAGGGCGTCGGCCCGTCGATCAGCTGCGCCGACCACCAGTGCGACATTCTGGTGGACGACGAGACGGTGCTCGAGCTGATCACCGACAAGGCGGTCATCAGGCGCTACAAGCAGCTGATCACCAACAACTTCGTCGAGTGCAACCGCCTGGTGCGCTGGTGTCCGAAGCCCGCCTGCGGCCATGTGGTGAAGGTGGAGCACTGCGCCTTCAAGCAGGTGCAGTGCGTCTGCAAGGCGGTCTTCTGGTGAGTCTTTGTGTGGACTAACTTGGTGAAAGAGATGGACAAAACTTGACTGACCTTTCTTTGTGCCTGTAAAAAGCTTCGCCTGCGGCGCCGACTGGCACTACCCGCTGCGCTGCGACCTGATGACCAAGTGGCAGAAGAAGTGCTCCGACGACAGTGAGACCTTCAACTGGATCGCCGCCAACACCAAGGACTGCCCCCAGTGTAAGATGCCCATCGAGAAGAACGGCGGCTGCAATCACATGGTAAGTGCTATGGCGCTATTCTTTTACAATCACCTTTCACTCTAACACCTTCCTCACTTTTGCAGTGGTGCCGCAACCCCAGCTGCAAGTTCGAGTTCTGCTGGCTCTGCCTGGGCGACTGGCGCAACCACGGCTACAACCCCTGCAACCGCTACTCGGAGACGGAGGCGAACCAGGCGAAGACCGCCCAGGACCGCGCCCGGGCCGTCCTTCAGCGCTATCTCTTCTACTGCAACCGCTACATGAACCACATGCAGTCGCTGAAGTTCGAGCACAAGCTCTACGAGAACGTCCGCGTGAAGATGGAGGAGATGCAGAAGCACCAGATGACCTGGGTGGAGGTGCAGTTTCTGATCGAGGCGGTGGACGTCCTCGTCAGCTGCCGCTCCATGCTCATGTACACCTACGCCTTCGCCTACTACCTGGTGAAGAACAACCAGGTGCACATCTTCGAGGACAACCAGAAGGACCTGGAGGCGGCCACGGAGCAGCTGAGCGAGTACCTGGAGCGCGACATGACCGGCGAGGGGGCGCTGCAGGAGCTGAAACGGTCCGTCCAGGACAAGTACCGCTACTGCGAGCAGCGCCGGAAGGCCCTTCTGCAGCACGTCCAGGAGGGCTACGACACCGACAGCTGGACGCTCAATGCAGAGCTCACTGTTTGAGGAGGGGAGGAGGGGAGGAGGAGGAGGTGGAGGAAGTCTTCTAGGTCACTTCACACTTTACACTGAAATTCTACTACTTCTCCTAAAACCAGTTCTTCTTCTTCTTCACGTACATTTCTTCCTCTGTCGGTTGTTTCACTCTCGGTC